TTTTGATTACTTAGCGACCGCTTAGCGACCATTTATTATTCATGCTTTTCCATTTTCTCAAATTCTGCTTTTATCAGTGATACCTCAATTGTTTCTGAATATTTATATTCTTGACTTACCAGGAGCATCAGAGCCCAAGAACATGGCTTACATGTCACGTCTGGGTATTTGGGGCACGGGGACACCATTTGGTGAATTCAATGAATTCATTCAAGCTGTGGAACGAAGGTAWGCCTGTGCTTCATCAAGCTGGGGTACGAATCATTTTCCCTGAAATATTCCCAGACATATGAGATAGGAATTAATTAAGATCTGAAGGATGGAACCTGGAATATTTGGCATTAGATTAAATGATTAAAAAAAAGAACATTATGTGTTACKGACAGTGAAGACGCTCAAACCGTTAACACTTCAAGTTTTTTTCCATTTAAAAAATTACTGGAAATATGATTTATTTTGATCAATAATTGGTGTATTTGAACTCAGTGGTTTATTTTAGAGGATTTAAAACAGTGGAAAGATTAGAAAATAATAACTTAAAAAAAACTAGCTAAAAACTAGTGTAAGCTACGTCGGTGTTTCTAATGAAACAGTAATGATGAAAAGGTAAATTATACACTTTGAAAAGATGACGTTTTTTACTGACGTTTTGGACACTAGTCCTTCGTTGGAGTAAAAGTAAAAAAAAACATTCTGATAAAGGCTACCAATAGTTATTCCAGAAACATCATGTTTTTTTTAAATTCTACTAATTTTAACTGTAATCTTACATTTGATTTGTTACAAGTGTTTATGGTTTGAGTGTCCTGAGTGGAACTATTATATACCACACTGCTTCCCTGTTGCTTCATTCAATAATGGTATAAACAAATCATAGAATATATCTGTTCTGTTTAGGGGTGTTGGAGCAATGGAAATTGTTGCCATGGACATGAAGGTAATTCACAGATTTTCAGTTCTATTGATATTAAGATTATCTTGCTGTCAATGCTTGGTCGTAGTGTGTCCTTCAAGGGTGCAACAGGGCTGACATTGCCACTCTTTGCACCAGACAGTGTAACAGACTAACACACTGGTAGTCTATCCATTGGTATTCTTTCCCCCTACTTTGGCCATACCTTCCCCATGGACCTTATCACATGGCAGCCATGTTTATTCCCATGAGAAATAAAAAAAATTTTTTTTTTTGCCTGCATAACTGAATTCATCCTGAAAAGTGCATAAATATGAGGTTATGCAGGAAATATCTATTCTTCAAGCCACCAACGTAGCTGCCGTGCAAGAAAGACCTATCATTTCCATTGCTTATTAGTCTCTCTCTTTCTTCACGGTCCTTCTCCAAGTCCTCATTCCATGATATTTCTATATCATCTTTCAGCTCCGTGGAATGTACATGGCTCGTCAACTCAGCTTTGCAGGAGTTGGTTTTGACATCAAAGATGTCTGTCTTAGTCAAGACTTCATTGACGTGTATGATGCTGCTGTAAATCTGGTAAGAGCTAACACCATACTAAAGGGAACACAAAGGGGGAGGGGGGAGCTCAATCTGTTCATCTCAGGCTATGATATTATAATATTGAACATAGCTGGACRAAAGGACCCTTGAAACCTACTTGTTTAGGGTGGTCCTCAGCTACTGTTTAATATTATTAGCTTCAGTACTGAATGTAATTAGAGATTGCTAGCCCTGAGTACAGATCATAGCCAGGTTACTGTTTGTATAAAAATGAAATGGGATCTTGTGGGGTGGTAGAGCAGTTTTAGTAAAAATGGGAGATGATATGTTGACAAATCCATACTGTAGCTGTTGCACATCTCACCATAGCTATAACTACGTCATGAGGCTATATAAATTATTAGAAGGATGATGAGAAGCAATGTGAATTTTACATCCAGTGTAACAAGTGTAAGTCAGTACTGTAGGTTTCCCACTCATACAATAAACATTATAATGGAAAGCCATTTCAAACCACTCTGCCCTGACATGAGATGGTAATTATGGTAAAAATGGAAGATATTGTTGTTATGTTTATTTTATTTAAATATTTCAGTGGGTTGAAGCRCGTGAAAAGTTCGAGAAAGCATCAGACTTGATGGATGCTGGTARTAAGTTCAAGAAGACAATGTGGGGACAGTTTTGGTCAGCACACCAGGTCAGTCGATAATTRTATAGTATAGGCCATATATTACTACTGACATCATTAGTAAAGCATTACATATGCATTAAGGCAAGTTTTGACAGAAAATCATGGCAAATCCTTAGGTGCAGTGTAGCCAAATTTCAGTTTTATCAAACCTTGGAAAATATCTGGACTAGTCAACCAATTTGAGTTCTTAGGTTTTGCAGAAGGAAAAAAATTGGAAAAATCTGGAGATCTTGTAAACTCTAGCCAAGTGTGCTACTTCTTTCTTACTCCACTCCACCCAGTAGCCATATCTGCACATTGAGACTAGATGGGTAACTTGAAGGCAGTAAGACCCTATTTTATGTGACAGCAGACTGTGCTGTATTAGTGAGTACATATATTTCCCACATAGGATAACTGACCACTTTATTTAGATGCAGTTAAGTCGTACTGGACAAGAGGTCTTTATGCTAATGGTCTTAACAATAACTGTGTTCATTTGTTTCTATTTGGTAGCGGTTTTTCAAGTATCTATGTATTGCATCCAAAGTCAAAGCTGTGGTGGAGATAGCAAGAAGAGCAATAGACATTGGCAAGGTAAGCCAGTGGTTTGGTAAAGTACCCAATCAACCTGAGGGTCTGCTGTACAAATGTTAAACTGCCATTGCAGGGTGCACTTTGATTTTTGCTTTATGGTCTCTTCACCATGGTGAATCTGTTGGTGTCATATCTTCAGCGTAGCTGCCTATTAACTTGTCCCTTGCCTGGCATAATACCACATTTCTATTAAGATTCTGGCACAAAAATTGCCGYCATCAGTCAGTGTCATGCAGATTTATCTTGTATACATAAGTTAATGTAACTTGTAATGTTTCAGTGTGTTGTGATTGGTCTACAATCAACTGGAGAAGCAAGAACATTAGAACAATTAGAAGAAGCAGGAGGGGAGCTRACAGACTTTGTCTCAACAGCCAAGTAAGTACTTTTTAGACATAATCTTACTCAAGCATGTAACATCTGAGGGTGATGAGAGCGCTTACCTGTCACAATCTGCTGCTTYATATGATGAGCATATTATGGGATAGAGGTAGAAATGCTCTGATGCCTGATGGGAAGAAACAGTGGAACAGTTCAAAATATAACATTGCTTTCCTGCATTCTGCTGTGCTGTAATTTCTAATAGGGATAAATGAAAGATTGTAACGTGTTCCATATTTGTTCTCCAGAGGTGTAATCCAGACTTTAGTTGATAAACACTTCCCTGCCTCAGACAAGAAGAAGATGGCTGACTTTCAGGGCATTAAAGATTCATACTTGAATGGTTCAAGGTCTGAGGTGTCATCACCTGTACCACAGAAGAAACGAAAACTAAATAGTAGTAAGTCTATTCCTCAAATCCCATCAATATGTGGAAAAAATCCTAATATTTACTATTGTTGCAGGACAGAAATCATTTAGACCAAATTCTCTAGTATGACTGTGAAAAACTATCGTTACCTTGTCTAAACCTATTGGACAGTGATTTTGCACACTATGATTGGTTCAAAGGCAGGGGTGTAGCCAGAATTTTCTGAGGGGGGGGGGGGGGGGGGGGGGGCATGGCGACCTTGGCCCCCTTGTCTACGCCATTGAAAGGAACGAGTAACATAGCATTTCGCAGTCAGAAAATCCACTCTAGTCGGCTAAATAAATCTTACCATGTTGTTTGCTTTGAAATAGATCATTTGAAAATCTGAGAAAACGATCCTCGAATTAACAATTTGTATTATTTTTTTTGTTGGTCTCAATTTCAAAATATTTTGAGGGTTGTTTAGGCAGTGTTGAGACCAGGGTGAAACACCTGAAATCATGTTGCAAAAGTAGAAAAAAGTAGTATTTATATGGGAATTCTTACATGGCTTGTTTTCTTCAGGTGTGAAGAAACCCAAGTCTGGTCTTGAGCGTATCTTTGACTGTAAGTACCTTCCTGACAATATTGAATACAGCTTGTTAACAGTTGTATGTAACCAGATACAGTACAAACTTTGACTCTCAAATGGCTCACACTGAATAACTTGAAAAGTGCTCATTACATTGCTTTATATAAAGGCATTTGAGAGTCGAGTTAGCATACCTTTTGTGTTAATCAAATGCAGATGCAAATTTTAAATGAGAACRCGTAAAGATGGTACATTCGAGTAATAGATAATTTTTATATGAGTGTGAATAACTCATGCATTGATGTGACGTAACTTGGATGTGAAATTGATGTATTTGTGAGTTCTGATTGGATGGGCACTAGCCTTGGGGGATAGGTTAATTAAATGGATATTGTCAATCCTTTGTCTTGTCTAACAGTAACATAACAACTGTAACTGTAAAAAACTGTTGCATATCTTGTTGCATACATAGAAAAGAGTCTTTCTGTTGATTACAGTAATGTTTTACTGGTTTAATGTGTAGTGAGTAGTGGATCTGAAAGTGATTCCAGTGATAATGGTATGGATGTAAGTAAAGAGAATGAAGACAGCCTGGATTCCATTGAGTCTGATGTCAATAATCAGTCATCTGCCAACGAGTCTGATTCTGGTGAGGATGACTTTAATCCTTTTGGTGGCTTTGAGTCAGATCAAGAAGGTAGGCCTTTTAATCATTCTTTTCCTGGTACTGGATTCCCTGTGTGTATCATCCAGACTTGTTTCTTTACAGACAATGAAATAAAAATTTATTTTATTTTATTTATACACAGTAGAATTTAAAGCTAGAAGCTTGTGGGGCTGTGTATCCTCCATACGCACTCCTCAATAMATTCGAATATTATATACATGTAAAACATCACTTCAGAATGAATTCAATGTCAACTAATCAGAATTTGGGATTCAACATTGTATTTTGATTAGAATCAAATATTGGGTCTTTATCKGGTACTGGATTACTTATGGTGCAGCTGGACCATTCTTCATTTGCAATAGACGTCATAGCCGCCATGTTGGAAGAATTTGACAAAAGATTTCTCAATGAATTCTTTTGTTATATCTTCCAACATGGCGGACATCCCTTTTGTTATTGTACTCTCTTGGGATTGATTGCAAACCAAGAATAGGACCCCAGTTATTCATTCATTCACACCTTTTTTTCCAGACCCTTGGTTGAATCGTAAAGTTAAAAAGAAGTCAAAAAGCAAGCCCCGTAGGGAGAGTCCAAGCGTGGGTAATCCTAACATCAACACAGCACTAGCGGCAGCAGGTCTTAGCGTGTCTACACCCATCTGGAATAGACCAGTTAATGGAATACCGAACCTTTCCTCCRTCAGGACAGCAAGCCCTACTCCGTTTTCTATAAACACTGGTCAGTCAACCGGTAATGTTGTCCATATAGCTACTACATGTATATGCAGGGATCATACAATTAAATGTACAATAGTTATTATCATTCTTGTCRCATTCTTTTTGTTTTAAAATAAATAAAAGATCATCATGCATGCAAGTCTAATAATTTAAGATTTCTAAAATCTTCTCAGGGTGAATAAGAGTTCTAATGGAGTGTTTTAGATTTACGTTCACAACAAACATGAAGTCAGTTGACCAGTGAAAAATTCTTTTAAATTACTGAAAAGGAATTGCAAAAAAATCCAAGTAATAGTAATACAGTACAAGAGTATTTTGTGTGTGGTGAGAAAGTTCGCAAAAAGCAAAGTAAAATACAGGAAAACGATGAAAACATGGTCACAATTGCAGTTTGCAAGAAGAAAAATAAAAAGAGATAACTAGCTAAAAACTAGTGTGAGCTGCGTCGGTGTTTCTAATGAAACAGTAATGATAAAAAGGTAAATTATACAGCATGAAAAGATGAAAAAACTGACTGACGTTTCGGACGCTAGTCCTTCATCAGAGTAAAAGAGCACTTACTCCGACGAAGGACTAGCGTCCGAAACGTCAGTAAGTTTTTTTATTTTTTTCATGGTGTATAATTTACCTTTTCATCATTATTGTTTCAAGAAGAAAAATAGTCAATCTAAAACTGTTTAGTGTTGTTTACCACAGGGAACCCGATGGCCAGAATACAACAGCAGAATCTTCATCAATCCCAGAGTGCCCCAGTACTATCATCCTTACTACAGAAGGCTGAAGGTAGTCCCACGTTAGGATCAGCTGGTGATCAGTGCTGTGCTATGAAGAAAGAACTACTGGAAAAGATAGAAAAACTGGGAARGATCTTGCCTCCTAATACACTAGATGAGCTGATCAACTCTTTAGGAGGACCTGATAATGTCGCTGAGGTTAGTACTCATTCTATTCCATTCCTTCCATTCTATTTTATTCCATTCCATTCCATCCTATTCCGTTCCATCCTATTCCATTCCATCCTATTCCATTCCTATTCCATTCCATCCATTCCATTACATCCTATACCTTCTATCCCATCCCATTCTATTATATTCCATTCCATTTAATATCCTATTCAGTCCTTTTTCACCATTTCTTTTATTGCTCATGCGTTCATCCTTTTTTACTGGATCCATCCATCGTTTTGCTCACTCGTGCGAGCCTCCGTCTTCTGTTTTTCTTTTACGGTTTTGTGTGTCCGTCCATTCATCCATCCATCTATTCATCTGTTGGTYAGTCTGTCGATCCGCCCATCCTCCTTAACCCATCCACCCACCCACCCACTACCCTTCCATCCATCCATTTATCCATTCATTCATTTACCTTCATTCAATTTCATTTTCACTATAGTATGTCTTAATGGTACAATAAACTGTTGTTGTTGTTGTTCTGATGTTATATTTCCAAGTGTGTTTGGTATTTGTTGTACAGATGACAGGTCGTAAAGGACGAGTGGTCAGTCATGAGGATGGCAGTGTAAGCTATGAATCCAGAAGCAGACAGGACGTATCTTTAGAATTTCTAAACATTGAAGAGAAGAAGCGCTTCATGAACGGAGACAAGGTTAGCTAAGTAAACGATAACACACCTCTTTACCTTGTTTTCCCATTTCAGACCATGTGTSACGATCTTGAAAATAAGATTCTTTGTTTGAGTTATATCCATATATATGTGTCTTCTCATGCACAACTGTTAAACAAAGAAGTGATACTCTAGGGAATGACACGTGGTCTGAAATGTGAAAACATTACGCCCAAGGTAAAGAGGTATATTGCATCAATATCTTCAAGGTAACTAATCCATAAGATTCATGAATAACTTCAACACAAGGAGGTTTGTATATTTGATGGTGATCATGTTTTCTTCTCAGCACGTTGCTATTATCTCAGAGGCGGCAAGTTCTGGTATATCACTACAGGCAGACCGAAGGGTCCAGGTAAGGAYATTCATTCTCTTCCATTTCGTTCCCTTGTTCCCTTCCTCTTCTCCCCTTTGTCACTCTACTCCATCTCCTATTTCTCTTTCCCCTCATACTCCCAGTTATCCACCTCTTTCTTCTCCATCTTCTTCACCTCATCTTCAACGTTATCTTACTTCACCAACAGTGCCGTCTATTATTATAATTATTCGCCCGTTATCTAGTTTTGCTTGCATAGTCATCATTGTTATTACTGTTGTTCTTGTTTGTAGAATCAAAGGCGAAGGGTTCACATCACTCTTGAGTTACCTTGGAGTGCTGATAAAGCTATTCAACAGTTTGGTAGGAAATTAACTGTTCCCTTTCGTCTCTCAATACGCTACAGAGACTCGCAAGTTTTATTTGACTTAATTAGAAATAAGATTAATAAAACCCGTGAATGTTCCTCCAACAGGACGGTCGCATCGATCAAACCAGGTCAGTGCTCCAGAATATATATTCCTCATCTCGGAACTGGCTGGCGAGAGACGATTCGCATCTATTGTAGCCAAACGACTTGAAAGCTTGGTGAGTATAAGTCTTATAATAGGTCGTTTGTAATCACGCGCAGGACAATCAAAATTACTGCCATGTTGGTTTATCTAACCAATTTGGAACCATGAGAAGAAGCTAGCACGAGAAAAATATTTGTAAAATCCAGCCAACCTGGCGGCGAAGACGTAACGGCTGATACTGAAGAGATATAGTATAGTAGCCATGTTGGCGGTACTCACACTTGTTATACCATCAACATGGCGGCAATGACATAATAAGATACAAGAGATATAACAGCCATGTTGGTGGTACTCACACTKGTTATACCATCAACATGGCGGCAATGACATAATAAGATACAAGAGACATAACAGCCATATTGGTGGTACTTAGCTGAGAAGCCGACGAAACAACTTGTTGATTGCCACCAACATGGCAGCGATAACATACAGGAGACGTAATGGACATGTTGGCGGTTGATCCAAATAGTATGAAAGTATCRCGCAGTATCTTATCTATACAACTATCTGTTTCTATCAACAGGGAGCATTAACACACGGAGACAGACGCGCCACCGAATCACGTGACCTCAGTAGATACAACTTTGATAACAAGGTATTGACTTTTGAGCCCAGCCTTTGATAGAGTATTTAGCAGATGAGATAGCTTGTTACCCCCTGATCGCAGATGGTCCCCTTACCTCTACTATGCCATGAAAATGAGTTTTTGAGTTGCTGTAATAATAACATATATTGGATAATAATACTAATGTATATATATATTATATTGTCTTAGTATGGTCGTGCGGCTCTAGAGACTGTTCTCAAGTCTGTTCTTGGTCACGTTACTCCTATGGTTTCTCCACCGTCCGAATATAAAGGCAACTTCTTTAATGGTAAGCAGTATACCTTTCCACTCAGGTAACATTAAACCATAATATTGATGTAGTATTAATAATGTGTTATTATCTAGATGTACGTGTCGCTCTTCTTGGTGTTGGCCTGGTGACAAAGGATGAGCGAGGCTCTTACAATATGCTTGACAAAGGTAATCCGTCAATAATCAATAATACTGACAACAAGCTTGTTGGTCAGGGGCGTAGTCGATTAGGGGGGGGGGCATTGTACCATTTTCCCGTTGGTAGTGTTGGTAGTGGTGTTGGTAGTGTTGTTGGTAGTGTTGTTGGTAGTGTTGTTGGTAGTGTTGTTGGTAGTGTTATTGGTAGTGCTGTTGGTAGTGTGATAGATTGTTGGTAGTGTTGTTGGTAGTGTTGTTGGTAGTGGTGTTGGTAGTGTTGTTGGTAGTGTTGTTGGTAGTGCTGTTGGTAGTGCTGTTGGTAGTGCTGTTGGTAGTGTGATAGATTGTTGGTAGTGTTGTTGGTAGTGGTGTTGGTAGTGTTGTCGGTCGTGCTGTTGGTAGTGCTGTTGGTAGTGCTGTTGTTAGTGCTGTTGGTAGTGCTGTTGGTAGTGCTGTTGGTAGTGCTGTTGGTAGTGCTGTTGTTAGTGCTGTTGGTAGTGCTGTTGGTAGTGCTGTTGGTAGTGCTGTTGGTAGTGCTGTTGGTAGTGCTGTTGGTAGTGCTGTTGGTAGTGNGTAGTGCTGTTGGTAGTGCTGTTGGTAGTGCTGTTGGTAGTGCTGTTGGTAGTGCTGTTGGTAGTGCTGTTGGTAGTGCTGTTGGTAGTGCTGTTGGTAGTGCTGTGGGTAGTGTGATAGATTGTTGGTAGTGCTGATAGAGATATTGATGTTCAATTGAATAAGGATGATTATCAGCTTAGTTTGTAAACAATTAACTTTTTTCCTATATTTGCATATCAGATTACACCAACTTATCGAGGTTTCTCAACCGTATCCTGGGTGTTACGGTACGATTACAGAACAGTCTGTTCGTGTATTTCATGGATACTCTTGCAGCTGTCATCCAACAGGCCAAGAGGGATGGACGATGGGATGAGGGGATTGTTGGTAAGCCATCATTAATGTGTGTCTTTCTTAAGGTACCTTTGTTGGGAGTAAGAGCTTCGTAGTTCAATCCTCACATGATTGAATCGACTTCTTTCAACTGAAACTTTCTAAGTTCGATAAACCGATTGCATTKTTGTCTAGCTTGGGTGCAATAGCTTATAATTAGGGTTTGGATACCTTTAAAGTAGATCACTGATAGAGAAATAGGATAAAGTAGGGGTGGATCCAGGAATTTGTTCAGGGAGGGGTGCTGTGCACAAAGTTAACCCAGGGAGCGGTGCACCCCTTAGAATCAAAGGGAAAAAACATGATTTTGTATTGGTTATCTTCGAAGTAGGGGCGCAAAATTGAGGTGCGCACCCCCTGCACCCCTCCCCTGGATCCGCCACTGGGTAAATTGTACGGTTTGCTTATTTTAGTTGCATTTTACCTTCATGGGGGAATGGGAGGAATAGATAAATGAATGTTTAGATGAATAGATGGATAAAAGGGATATAATCTCCCCATTTTGTTGTATTCAGATCTTGGGTCACAAGGAGAAGAAGTGACAGAACTTAGTGTTCAAACATTCGTTGGCAGCAAGACGATGGGAACTGCCACCACTGAACTACACACTGTATGTACACTTCCTTCCTTCCTTCCTTCCTTCCTTCCTTCCTTCCTTCCTTCCTTCCTTCCTTCCTTCCTTGTCCCATTTTTTTTACATACTTGTTTTGTTAACATTTGGGTGGTGTTCTGTGTGGATGTAGGTATGTGTAGAGCGTGGCATGTCATGGGAAGAAGCCTACAATATGTCACTCAGTCAAACTGATCCCAACGAAGGATTCTACGTATCACACCAGGTACTGCAGTCACATGCTGTTCCATAGTAAAGAATAATACATAACCCCTTAAGCAAGGCTTTGTTTGATAGTAAACAAATGAGTAGTTCAGGGGGTGGGGGTGGGGATTGGTTTCAACGTGCCAAGAATCTATATTACGAAGGGCAAATATTTGTAGAACATTTTATTACGACTGTCTAATAAAAGGACAATAGCATTCGAATTAAACGAAGGTTTTAATCATATTATAGATTGCTCTTCCTGGCACTTCTCCCGTCTTATTATTGCGCATGCGCACGCTTTCTATTATTTCGACAGTTTATGAGTTTTCCTTTTTTCCGGTCTCATTTCTTTGCTTCATTCATTCAATTTGTTTGCCAACTTTGTTTACTCTTACCAAGGTTCGAAATGATAAACGGATAGCTATTTTCGTGGTATCTCAAAACAACAAGAAGAAAGTGTATGGTGTGTATCGACCCAACACAAGGCTTCAGTCCAAACAAGAAACAATAAATGACATCAAGAAAAAGTACAAAAAGGTAATASTATTACTATTAACTATTAACTAATTCCTATTATTAACATTATTAGCAACATATTCCCACTTGTTCTTATTCCTTTTGCACTTTATCATCAAATTTGTTCCAAACGTACATTATTAGCGATYTWTAGATCCGACGACGAGTACGACATCGAGTATGGGTATGAGTTTTAAAATTGGTCTTGCGCGCGTGGTTAACACTCAATTRTAGTCGTTTTTACAATCTAAAGTTTCAATCTACGTACACGATCACGACGACAAAAAGATAGTGCCTCCTCTCTATAAAAGCAAAATCGCTCGTACTTGTACTCGTTCTCGTACTCGTCGTCGGATCTAAAGGTCTCTATTCTTAGTGAATGAACGGACGTAAGGACAGACAGACGGACGGACTGACGAACCAACCAACCAACCAACCATAGCAAAAAAAATTATCATTTGATTTCTCTTTTGTTTGTCCAGCGTCTCGCACATTTCTTTTGTTTCATTCTGTTGGCAATGATTACAAACCATCTATTGATTTTAAGGTTACATCATCGGAAGCCAAGCCGTATTGGATATCTCAGTTCGAATCTTCCTTCTCTCAATGCAGCCATGCATATTGGTAAGGAGTGTTATAGCTTAGTAGAATACAGAATTCCATGTTATTCAATCGCTATTATGTTATTTTCATTCATGTAATATGATGAAACAAACTTCATCTTTCCGTAAAAAAAACATACTGCTTTTTCATTGGCTAATCAGTAACCGCTGTACTTTGATTGGTTCAAAAGATTAAGACAAGTCTGTGGCGTGCTAGATTTTCTCTGTGTATTTAGGATTGCGAAATGGTCGTATTTGATAAGAGCAAAAGTAGTGATTTTTTATCTTGTTTGGTTCAGCGATTTTGCTTCGTAACTGTGCCAGATCGAGGATGATTCGCGTAAAGGAGTAACACGCTCCTCCTCGAACTCTTCTTCTCCCTGGCCATGGATCTGCCATTTTCCCATACCTGTATACATCTGCCATAACACTTAGCAATTTTTTCTCACTACCGCAGGAAAGGAAACTGTAAGAGATCAACACTTGGTTTATCGTGTGAAGTTGGTCTTCGTCGTCGTTCGTACAACATCCTGAGTGGTTCAGTACTAAGTGTGTGGAGTAAAGTAGAAAGTGTACTTGCAGGGCAGTCTGGGAGTAATTCCAAGGTCCAGATAATACGATGTAAACGAAGTGATGGCGGGAAAATTGTGGGTACGTTTGCGCCGTCGCGTCTTCTCATCCATCTCAAACCTCTTTTAACTAACGTGTTWATATTGGTTTACAACAGGATGTCTCATTCCCAGCAACTGTGTTCCAGCGCTTGCAAGAGCTTTGTCTCCACTCGATKACGGCCAAACAGAAGCAATAGAGATTTTATAGAGCTTAGATTACAACACAGGACGTCCGATGAAAGAAATGCTCCACGACGTACTTGTTGAAAAAGGAACGATGTTGGTTAGCTACCTAGAACGTCCTTGGAACACAAACCAAGCCATCACTGGAATTGAATTATTGGAGGTGTTTAACGGCGTAGTGTTGTACACCTCGTTATGTACTTCGAAACCACAGCTTCTGTGAACATGTCGTTCGTTTCTTTGCTTATGTGGTTTTGAGATAMAGGCTCACGCATTGCATTAGTAACATTTTCCATACGTCCATAAGATAAATAARCTTGAACAATATGTCAGCAGCCATGTTGGATGACAGAGCTTTGTCCTCCAACATGGATCCGCAAGCTGGTGCACCATAGTTGTCCCATACTAACACATACATATGGTAATTTATTACAAAGAGGGCACATATATTTTGTAGAAATAATGCTCGCAATATGCGATGACATTTAAAAGTATGTCGGCTGTGTAAAATACGTTGATGTTTATCGTTTTGATAAGAAAAACTAGAAAATTTGATATTTGGGTTTCGGCGAAGCCATGACAAATATCATATGCCCATTAGATATTAGATAAATATATTGACAAAATCCTTTTAGAAGGAAATTGTTTTTGACTTTTCAGAGGAGAGTTGTTTGAGGGATGTCGTTTCGATTCTTCACTGCAATATAAATTTACAAGTGAAAAAACTGCAGTTCACGAAGTGTAATTTCCCATACGACGACCTGTTTAAGAGCATAAAATTGGCGGTTCCACTTCTACTTGTGCTGTCCATGCCTTCGCTAGGTTACGAAGGTTATTTAGATATTATTCTTAGTGGATGTAAATATGAATATGGTGTTTCACACCCACTCAAGCCCCTCGACAAACGTTGTTGGCTGTTACACAAGAATTTACATTTAAGTTCCAAACTTTCTTCTATATTTAGTTTCTATAAAGCAATTCTTGAAAGTTCAGCGGCTGATTTCCAGGCGTTTGACTTTAAGCCTAGCAACCAACCGCTGGCCTAGATCTTTGTCCTTAACATCAATGTATTTATTCAAGTCATTTCCGGATTTGGTCACGTGAATGCGAGGTCACATGACTTTGTTTTTTTTGATATCTTGCCTAGAAATTACGTTAAAAAGTATTATACATGTACTCGTTGGAAATCAAGAAAACAACGTTCAAACGATTAAAGAGAATAACTTTGAAGATAAAGATTCCTTACAGTATCTATTAGCCATTCCGAGGTTGAGAAAAAATAAGTTGAGTTAGCATGGTAATGTATTGAGGACTGTTTAGGGGACAAAATAGACACCMTTTTGGAATAATACGTCAACCTCACAATGGCTAATAGTATGGGAGGGGTGACAGGTGCATTGGTGGTGAGGAAGGGGTGGGTGGTGTAGTATGTATGTAGATAACAGTAGTATCAGARGTAGAGCAGTATTCGCATGACTGTGGGAAGCTCACGGCACGAACACGGCCATGACACGGCAAGGCATACGCCAGACCCGAATCAAAGTCTAGAAAACATCACGGCAAAGCACGCATACGGCACCGACGTTTTCACAGTCAGAAAACTGCTCTAAAGAGAATAGCGTCAGTGATGACTGCGATCATAGATATCTTGTACCATGAAGTAATATCATCCGCTTGGAATATTAGAACAATGCAGCGCTCATAATCTTTATCTTTTCTGCACTAAGATGAGCAATACGTCAAGGGGATCTTACTACATTAAATAAACGACACGGCAATTCAAATTCGTAATGTACTGATCTATAAGATGTGCCTAAACTAGTCTAAATTCTTGCTAATTTTCCTCGTGTATAGAAAAGTCATTCATTTTGGACTCATGGTTGCCTTAGAGCGATAAATCCTGGAAAAATWTTTGAGATCTCTAAGGCTGCGTTCATAATGTATGGCAGAGGGGGGAGTGATAAATTGAGGGGGGAAAAAGGGGGGAATGCAAACATTTTTATCAGAAAAATGGGGGGATGCACAATTTTTGGAAGAAGCTACAAGCCTTGCTTAGGGGAGATCATATTTATTTGCATGGCTTTAAGGGGGGTGTTCAGAATTATTCGTTCTGCTCCTAATCGAGTATGYCAGCCAATCGGATTACGAATCGAAAACAATAGAATTCAAGTTACATGTATTGAAAGTCTATAAAAGCTATTAAAGGAGATGAAATGGTGAAAGAGAAAGAAAAATAAAAGTATATTTACACAAAGATGAAATGGAATAAACTCGAGTATTCACGGGTTAGAGTAGAACGACTTTAAGCTTTTTCCAGCTAAACAAACGAGGTCCGTTATAAAATAGTTCATATATCTTTTGCATGAATACATCAACTTTAGTAGTTTGAAAAAAATGAAAAGAATTACTTTATCGAAGAAACCAAAAGCTTAATTCTGATATCCTGCGTCAGCTCATCGTATGGGTTGTTTAATTGCCCTATTTCACTATGACGTCACATCRAAACAATCTTCAACAATCTATTGTTTAAACGCAAAGGATCATGATCGTCGGAGGGGGTCAAATCAACGCAAATTCACCGAAAATTGTCCTAAAACCCGTATCAATCCACGAAGAGAAGTAGAATAGCCAGCAAACTCTCAGAATATTTTTTAGTACATATTAACACATATTATATCTGAAAACCAGGCCATTTTAGATTAAACTGTTTCGCTGGGAGCAAATTTTGTTGAATTTTCTATTGGATTCGGCGATTCTATCCCCCACATAAACAATAAAGCAGAGACGTCATAGTGAAATAGGGCAATTGCTCATGTGAATTAACAACTACCCTATTCTAGTACATTCTTTGTGCCGCGAGAGTCAAGGGGCTATTATCTCATCAAAGACTTTTGATACTGTATTCCGAATATAACAAGCGCTAGGCCACCAAGTTCATCATCTTTTGAATGAACCGTGCACGGGACGGATACTCCTTCGAGCACGAAAACTCTTCAGATGTATGTAAAAAAAAGATTATAGATTACTCAGCTTTAAATGATAAGAATGAATACAATTCTAACAAGTTTGTTTTCAGGCAAGAAAGATGCATTGCAAGATATTTTTTGGAAGATTTCTGTTCTTCGTCATCTTTTTCGACTGCGCTTCCTTGAAAGGTTTGTTGAACACTGAAACAAGTTTTATATTCATACTTTGAATATTTCAATTAATTACAAAATTATTTTATTCCTATTTAAACTCTTTGAACGATATCAAAAAGAAAATAGTGAATTTTGTAAAGAATCCGGAGAGAGAAGAGTCGATTCTAACGAAGCAAATTTTGTCGTTTATGAGAAAAAATGTATCGCACTTAATTGCATTTGATACGACAAGTGGCAAACATCTGGCCGATGTTTCATTCAAAATAAAACAATTGTTATCCAGTTATCCCACATGTCAGAAATTACTGGAAAAAGATTAGAGAATTTTTGATGAATTTTTATAAAATAATACAAAACATGCCGAAGTATTGATGTCAAAATAGCGACAGTCCCCTTCAACCAAGAACAGATGGTTTGTTTTTCATGAGTGTCCAACCCTCTTGATTCCGCCACCAAGAAATGTCAAAATAACCTCAGATTTACACAAATAATGCTTAGCTTTGCCAAACAGAGTTTATATAAACTTAAATAACACTTTGATAAACACTTTGATAAACGTTAACTTTATTTTGAAGAAAGAGTACAGTGTTCAGAATTTTAAAGCCGGACGCGTGTGGGGATTTGCAGAACACGAGATGAGAGRAGTGTTAGGATAATTATATATTTCAAAACAGTAAAACGTGTTGTATTGTAAATGGTGTACTTCGACGACACGACGGCCATCTTGAACCACAATGCAATATGGGACGTCCAAGGTCAAATATAGAGCTAATGTAATACTTGATAATATATTTTTCTTGATATCGCCTGTCATTATATASAGCTAATTAATGAAACAAAGACAAACAATGAAGCTATACATATTATTAGCTATATTTGTTTTGTTTTGGCCCCTGAACGACCCGTAATGCCTTGCGATTCAAGATGGCCGCCGTATCGTCAAGGTACACCATTGTTCAAAAGGCATAACTTGTTTAAAACTTGTGTTCTAGATTCTCTATTCGTTGACATTCAAAACTCAAGTGGAACCATATCAAGCCCCAACTATCCAGGACAATATCCCAAAAATACCGAAGTCACGTGGAAAATAACCATCCCAAATGGCACTAAAATGGCTTTCTGGATAAATGACATGGACATCAAAAGTTACTTCAATTGCTTCATAGACTGGATACGAGTATATGATGGTCCACTCGTTACTAGTCTCCAGATAGCGCACTTGTGTGGTACGTCCAAAGGGTTCCCAATCCTGTCTAGTGGTAAAAGACTCGTTGTRAAGTTCCATTCATCTAATTCACAGAAAACTGGTTACAGAGGGTTTTCTGCGTCCTTTTCAWCAGCAAAACCGGGAAAACGTAAGCTTTCTATCGATTTTTATATAAGATCTGCACTCATGTATTCAAATATTTTTTTCTGAAACGCAACTTTTTGTTTACGCTTCCGCGTGATGGAAAAGAGATTCAACTGAATATCGGGACACGTCTGGACATGTTGGACATGTTGGACATGTTGGACGATTGATCTAAAAATAAGACTTATTATCTTAAAAAAGGTTTAAAGTTATCAACGTTCCAACTGAAATAATGACTTAGATCATGAACATCTGTGTGTAAATGTGGGTGTTTTTTACGTTTTTATTGTTTTTAACTTGGCAAYGGTGAAATTATAATGAAAGAATATTCCATATCGACTGATAAACAAAAAATCACTGCAATTAAACTAAATGAAAAAGATTCAAATGAAGCAGTGAATACAGAGTGCTTTCACGTCAGCCATGTTGAGGCGCACAAAAAAAACAATCTGTGAAAAAAAAAAAGAGAATAAAATAAAATAAAAATTAATGTTTTGATTTAAAAAAATTGTTAGAAAAAGCTAGAAAAACGTATAGAAATAATGAATTTGTCATTTGTGAAAGGAAATAACTCGGGGAAAAATTCCCGAAAGTCCTCGTACGGCATCGAACCCAACATTTTCCGGATATCCGTCGGATACCAGTCGGATACCCGTCGGATAGTCTAAACACTCATGGATATGACAGAGGTATTTTGTCACACAAAAGCATTGCATTATTCGACTCTWTCAGTTGGTTAAAAAAAGGAAAAAGCATCATCGAATAAAGACTATTTCTCGTCCCTCCCAATGAATTAGCAGCTGTACATTGTCCATTGTATTTCAGCTTGTTTTCCATACTCTGGAGTAACCCTCACACATCCTGAAGGAAATATCTCATCACCAGGCTATCCGCAGCCATACCCGTCATACACCGCGTGCCGATGGGATATAATAGGAAAAGAAGACCATAATATTCAGCTGACGATCATCGATACACATATCAAGACTGTGATACGATACTCTGATAAAGATTATGTATCCGTGAGGGATGGATTGGACAAGAACGATAAAGAGTTAATGCGGATCTCCAGAACTATTTCCAAACCAATACTAGTGATATCAAATGGAAGAATAATGTCTGTCACGTTTATGAGCCGTCACAATGACAGCCCRAACTTTTACCGAGGATTTCATGCTACTTATAAGACTCTATCAGTCAGTAAGTTATTGCGTCAATCAGGCCCGTAGCGTGGTCTCAAAGAAGAGGTGTGCGTTTCGGAAAAACAAAAGAGCAGCTGAGATAACAATAGTTTTTATTGCATGTTGTTAGCTTWAAAAAAACCTCTCCGTTTAAGGGGGTGCGCCCGCAAACCCCCCAACCCCCCACCCCCCTTTCTTCCCAGCCTACTATGGCCTGTCAATAGCAACCTGCAGCAGGGGATTGTACTTTGATTTTCTTCAATCTGGGATGTCAATCGTTACTTTGGTAACCAGCCGCAATAGAATTATAAAGATCCATGACATGAATAATATATGTTATTTACTTTATCTTTTTGGTTGTTTTAAGTTTGTGGTCATTTCTCTATCAAGAACCAGGCTTCCACACGAGGTTACTTTCACAGCACCAACTTTCCYAACCAATACCCCCCAAACCACCTCTGTTTTTGGCGATTCGATGCTCCTCACGRCCACTTCGTTCGTCTTTTATTTTTGACATTTGAAACTGAACGCTTTTATGATAAGGTAACGATCTATGATGGTAACACGACAAACAATGATATGTTGGCCACCCTAAGTGGTTCTCATGATGAGTATTTGGTCGAATCGACTGGAGWAAGTTTAATGGTACAGTTTAAAGCAGATAGAGTAACGCAACTCAGAGGATTCAATGCCAGCTACCAGCTTTTACTAGACAAACGTGAGTATATTAACATTATTGGCTTAATACGGAATAAAAGCTAACTGGAACAAACACGCAAAAAATACTCTATTAATGCAATGCCTTGGAGATTTGTTCTTTCGTTTTTCCATCATTCCCAAAGAGAATCATCTTCAAGAACCTTGATATCAGTAAAATGTCCCCTAATGTGTCATGATAACATATCTTATTTTTACTTTCTTCCGTTTTTGTTTTTGTTTTTGTTTTTTTTGTTTTTTCAGGCTGCAAGAGAGGAGATGTGATAACCGTGAACAAGTCCTCCGGGTCTTTCCATATCTCGAACCATCCATTTCGTTACCCGGCCAATTCTCTCTGCACCTGGAATATCACAGCACCGACAGGGTATAGAATAAACCTGACGTTGAGTACAATGGACATCGACCCCAGCCAACACTGTACATCTGATTTCATGGAGATACGTGATGGGAAAACAAAGGGAAGCCCTCTCCTTGGAAAATACTGTGGTAACAGCAGTGATGTTCCGTTACCTGTCATATCTAGTGGTCCACACATGTTGGTTATTTTTACCTCTGATGATCTCAATAAAGCTACAGGATTCGTCGCTCATTATTCMATGATTCCTGCTCAGAGTGAGTACCAGGTCATAATTTTCCGGATTTTTTCTACAATTATCTATAAATTAAGCAATTATCACGATCAAAATTTGATTCGTGAACGTGAACGAAATTCATGGACGCGTCTTCGGTAAGCGCGCGAAAATCCTCGATCCTGATTGGTGGAATAAAAATATGCAAATTATCTTCCCACACTTCCCCACTGTTAGTCTCGCTTCAAACGGTGTTTGTATTAGACTTTCTGCTTTTGTTTTTCACGTAATAAGTCCTGTTATTTCTAATCCTATACAGACGAGTCTTCCAAGGTCAYCTGCTCTTTTGACCATGGCYTGTGTGGTTGGCAGAGGTCAGGATYAGTATCATCATACTCCTGGGCTTTGTACAGCGGTAACTCATATATGAGGTCCGACAACAGACCTTCATCTCACCGTTCACCGGCAAAAGGTATCGATCACTCAACTTTATCATGATGTAGCTGCATGATGATGATGTCGTCGTTGCTTCTGTTCCTGTTGGTGGTGATTGTGGTTTTATCGAGTCGATCGTSGTCGTATCCTTCAGACATCGTTTTMTCTTTTCTTTGTTTCTTTTCTTTTCCTTTGGGATCYTTTATATCTTCAGCATCTTCTTACTCCTGTATTTTCCTCTATCGTTTCCTCTCGACAGGAAGATATACCTACATCATTCATGAAGGCACCGATCACAGCAAATCTTCAACTCTCATCTTCTCTCCTTTTTCTGGGTCAAAGTGCATTTCCTTCCATTACATCTTGCTTGGTGTTGACCAGACAGAATTGATACTAAGTGTCGGAGACAAGCAAGTCTACAAAATGAATGGTAACCAAGGCAACGAGTGGAAGAAAGCACTCATCAACGTCACAGGACTGACTGGCGGGGTAAGTCAATTTAAATAATGATAATGATGAGGATGATGATGGTGATGATGATGATGGTGGTGATGATGGTGATGATGATGATGGTGATGATGATAATGGTGATAACGATCATATGATAGTGATCATATCATGATCAATCTGTTTAATTTTTCATTTTTAGCTATCTTTTAACGGTACTGTATACCATAAAGAGTCGTTTGTTGCCATCGATGATGTTAATGAATCTGACAATTGTAACGGTAGGTTAAATATGTCACGAGTAAAAGCAGAGAAATCTTCGATTCTCTTGCAGTGTGAACTGGAATTTCCTGCAATGGTATGTTGGAACAAGCCATTCTTGGTTGTATGAGGAGTAAACAGGGACTGGAAAATGCACTCGTTTCTACCCCCCCCCCCCCTCTCCCCTGGTTTCTTCCAGACGTTCGTTCACCACCTGCTCTTGTTTAGATGAAGAAAGAAAAAAGAATTCAAGATCGTAATGATTCAAAGTTGAATCATTAATACAAAATCTTTTGTTCCTTGTTGTTTCGTTATTAGTGACGTCATGTCAAGTATTAGAAGCACCAGCCAATAGCAGCATGACCTGCACATCTGTCAATCATATTGGTAGCACTTGTACATTTACATGCTACCGTGGTTATATTTTGGAAGGACCTTCTTCTCGATCTTGTCTCTATGGGACATGGACGAAATGGCAGCCATTTTGTTGTAAGTCCTTTTGTTGTTACTAACATCATTCATGACTTCRCCCAACCCCTTAAAGTCCCAAATTCCTTTACTCTTGGAAGTCAATGGTGGTGTAGTGTAGCAGTAGTGCACTCATCTCTCACCTCTGGGGTCTCAGGTTTGATTCCTGGGCCCATCATCACATGTGAGTAGAGTTTGTTGGGTCTCTCTCTTGATTCAAGGGTTTTTCTCTGGCTTCTCCAGTTTTCCTTCCTCCACAAAACCCAACATGCTAAATTCCAATCGAGCCAGTCGTGCTCTAACTTTGATCAGCCCAGAGGTTTCAAGGTTTCAGTAAAACTGTTGTTTGATTGGTATGGTGTCGTTTCTTTGTTCCAGTGAAGGTACGTCTTGCAGATGGTTCATCACCATTACAAGGYCGTGTAGAGATCTCACATAAAGGAGTCTGGGGCACAGTGTGTGGACAAACATGGACCTTAAAAGAAGCTCGTGTTATTTGTAGAATGCTAGGTTTATCTGACGCCTTTGCAGCCATAAAACATTCATTCTTCGGTCATGGGACAGGACAAATATGGCTGGCAGGAGTCCAGTGTACTGGGCTAGAGCGATCAGTGACCGAGTGTAAACACGTGGACTGGGGAGAGGCATCGAGCTGTACTCATAACGATGACGTAGGAGTCATCTGTGGACGACCTGCCTGTAAGTTCGTACCATATAGTTAATTTTCGAGGGTTGAGAGTCTGGTTCGTAGTGCAACCGCAAAGAATGCATAGTTTTGTTSATAGTTTTGTTGAACAGATCTGCCATTTTGCCAACTTTAACAAYTTCCACTACTTCTGTCAACATTCCACAAGTTATTGTTTATCGACAGATTTAGAAATGCGCCAATGTTCGTATTTTTGAATTTTAAAAGATACAAATTTGAAAAACTTTGAAGGTTATTTCAACTTGTCTGTCTGAAAAGGACAGAGTACCACGTGACTCGTTCTTTTATGCAATGTTCACACCACAGGTATCCCAGATTTATTCACATTACGTTTTATATTTACGAGTTTTTTAAGTTTAATAARATCCATGTTTTTTATTTTTTAGTATCCATTCGTCTAGCTGATGGCCATTTCTCCAACCAAGGTCGCGTTGAAGTTGCTGTAAATGGTTTATGGGGGCAAGTCTGTGATGATTCATTCGGTATCGAAGAAGCTATCGTTGCTTGTCGTATGCTTGGTTTGCCTCCCCCTTATACACTTGAGTCAAGCACTGTTTACCTTAAAGGAAGCAAGTATGGGGAGGATGGTAAACCAGTTTGGCTGTCAAGTATTCGATGCACTGGAAGAGAACTTGATCTTCTGGCTTGTCAACATGAGTTGGGATATGGTGAATCGTTATATTGTAGAGGATTATGGCGAAGAGCAGGTCTGATTTGTGGCGACACTCAAGGTCAGTCTGTAACATCATGTTTACTTATTAATATCTTATTGWTAGTCCTTGGCATGGGGATTGGGCACGTACTTGTCGCACAGGAAATGGGTAACTCTTTTGGGTGGACAGATCAAGTAACAGATCAATATAATGGAAGAATGATTACTGAGATTTCGTTAGGAAAGTGTTCCGCATTCCAAACATGAGAGATTAAGATTGCAGTGGCGGATCTAGGGGTGGGTTTTGGGGGTTGCAACCC